TTTCGATATGAGATCCAGAACGTGATTGAGCTCAATGACAAGATTCTCCCTTTTCTCCAGGATTTCCGCCCGTCCGACTGTAGGAGCCCCGTGATATCCCACATGCACTGTGCTATCGTCTGCATAGCAATGGATATTTCCAAGTGGAAGCATGTCATTGATATGCAGCAGAAAAAGTGTAGGGGATAGAACGGAGCCCTGAGGCACACCGGAGTTGACTGACATAAGCTGTGAAGAGCATCCGTCAGAAAGAACACGGATTTTACGCTCACGCAGGAAGTCGGCTATCCAGGTGCAGAGTTGAACGGGCAGACCGTAGGCCGGAAGCTTGGAGAGAAGTCCCTTGTGCCAAACCCTGTCAAATGCCTTAGCAATGTCAAGACTGACAGCCAAGGACTCGCCGCGCTTGTCGATAGCTTCACCCCAGAGGTGCATGACGTACGCTAGAAGATCACCAGTTGATCGTTTTGGTCTAAAGCCATACTGACGATCATTTACAAGGGAGTGATCTTCTAGGTATCGGATCAGTTGGGAGTTAATAATCCTATCTAAGTTATGTCTTAACTATACTAAATAAAGAATGTCTCCCAGATCATAGCCAACAGGTAAGGTACCCAAAAGGCTGCGAGCGTTTCCTCTTTGAACAGATCTGTTAAAAAGTTTATTTTTAACTCTTTTGTAATTTGTTTTAATTTTACTATTTTTTTTATCATATCATATATCATTCAAGTCATTGTCAATTTTTTTATTGAGTAAAAAACAAATGAAACGAAATTTAAACACTCAATATACTAACTTACCTTGATATCTATAACAAAAGTATTTAATAAAAAACTAAAATCAAAACAAAATCCCAAATAAAAACCTTGATTGTGAAGTGTAACGAAATAAATAAAATAGTACATACCGAGATTGTTATCAAAACTATAATTCACGTTTTTCTACCATTAGTAAGTAAAGTGAGTAAGTTAAAGACCAAAATAAAATATTTGGTACAGTTCGCGAGGACGCATGATTTATTCTGAACACGTAATTCATAATGGAATCGTCCTTGACTTCCGAATTGTTGGGAAGGTAGTTATAATTGGTTTCAAAATGTTTCGCTTTTGGAAAAAAAGATTACAGTACAGATTTATAATATTAGCTTAATATTGAAATATCAGTGTATTAAGAAGATATCTTTGCAATATGCATCACGTCAATACTCACGTGATAATTGAAATACACGTAATTGGAAGAAACAAAACCTTTTAATTATGACGGCCTCCACAGCCTAGTAATACACACACCGATTTCAAGGTGTCGTCATCTCTGAAGTCCCGGATTTGATTCCTAATCGGGTCAATGTAGAAAACAAATTTTTTCTATATTGTTGTGATGCCTTTTTGTCTCAGATATTTCATAATACACCTTGTGATCAGAGCGATGATGTTGTCTAATACTTATACATATTTAATTTATTAATTGAAATTTTTTTTTTATGGGATAAGGGGCAGACGAGCAGACGGATCACCTGATGGTGTAAGTGATTACCGTCGCCCACGAGGACACCTGCAACACCAAAGGGGCAACAAGCGCACTGCCGGCTTTGGAGGAAAGGGTTGAGGGGTAGAGGGAAGGGAATAGGGAGGAGTTGGGCCTCCAGTACCCTCACTCACACGACGAAACACAACGCAAGCGTTGCTTCACGTCGGTTTTCAGTGAGGCCGTGGTATCACTGCGGTCGAGCCGGCCCATTCATGCCGAAGCGTGGCTCTCCCACAAATATGATCTTTAGTTGTTATATCTACTAGACAGTAAAGTTAACATCTAGTATTAGGATGACAAAACCTAGATAACAAATCCACTCTAACGCGACCACATTATGAATTCAAATATAAGCCAACCATTATAATTATATACCTACTAAAAATATCTTCATAATTCGTAAATGAATATTAGTTTTACTTATTAAATGATTTATGAACAACATGTTCAGATTTACAAACTACTGAAGTACTTTTCCTTCCCCTTCATTTTCATGGGACTCATAGAAATATCAACCTTTTTCTTTAGGGGAAAGCCGGGAGACTTGATCCTCTTCTTACTTGAATTATCATATCTTCGTATAGATTTGTCGTAGAGACTAGATTATAATTTTAATTCATGTGTAATTTATATAGACTTGTTTTTGCATCATTACTTTTTAAATATTTCAATACTGTAAATTGCTAAGCCGATTTGAAGTAAAAATGGGAAATGGATCAACTCTCCCCACTATGAGGGACATATGATCAAAACCATTCTCTGAGTCTGAGGAAACCCATTATCAGGGGTTTTAGTAATTTCTGTTTATTTTTTTATTATCATCTTTCTATTAGAGTCTATTGCGTAGTTTTGCTTTCATATATTTATTATTTGGAATTGATATTTATCTTTTTTCTCAAAAATTATAAAAACTATTCTAAATGTTATTTGCCTTCTGTTCACTTGTTTTATTAACATTTATAATATTGAATCGAGTGCAAGTAGTATTATGGCAGAAGAATCATCACCACAGATGGTATAATTAACCGCTGATGTCTTCAACAAGAACAGTGGTTCAACTCTCCCGCATACATCACTTGGACATAAAATTTCCATTGCAGAAAAGGTATTCAATTACTGTTAAAAAAAAATTAACAGAATAATCAGCAAACACGATAAAAAATAATACACAATACTTACATCGATAAACACGGCCAGTATCTCAAAACTACTAATTATTTAAAATTTATTTTGTAGTGACCAAAACACTTTTCGCAACTTAAAAGCTAAACAAACCAGGCATTTTGTGCAATAGTGACACATACATTATTGGTCTTCCATACATGATCTACGACTGTGTTAATGTTTCATTAGCTTGTAGATTACGTTGAATTTTGAGAAGTGGTTCAACTCTCCCATCTGGGCAAGTCTCCCCGACTCCCCTTATACACAAAAAATATACAGGAATAATTTAAAACCACTGCGAAGATTTTGTGAAAATAAACTTTAAGTAATTTAAACAAACACGTATTTTTTATTTTGATATGTTTCAATACTAAAAAATAAAGTTATCGCTTATCAAAGATGGAGATTTTAAAACTTCATTTATGGACACCGCGCGCCGTGCGTCAGCTGAGCGCTCGCTCGACGCCGCCGTAGGCATGTACTCGTAGGTACCTATCTACACGGGTCACTGACCGCTCATTTTGTTAGATTCGAACTAGATTTTAGCCATGATCTGAGGTGATTTCTAAGAGTAATTCCAATTTTCCCTTCATACTTTTATGGTTAAGGCCATCAAAATGCAAAAAAATAAAAGAGAAACATTTTCGTTACCTAGAAAAAAATATTAACGTTATGCCGAAGTTACATAGGTACTTCTGCGTTAAGGCGTATTTAAAAAAAATGGAATCAACTACGTATTTACAATAATGTTGAATCAAAACAAATACCTAACTAATTAGCTAATTACTTACCATGTATTTTAATATTTGTTCAAAATGAAGTCCACGTCTGTCCAGACATAAACGTGCACATTTCATTAAATTGTCATTTAATTTATTTAAAACACTAGTGTCACTTTTTACTTCACTAAAAGCGTTAATATTTTTTATTGTTAAGTCTTCTAGACTTTGTGCCTCCTCTACATCCCGGCATTTGACTTCTTCCCATAAGAAACAGTCCCTCACGTGTGAACAATGCCTCATCCGTCCACAAGATGTTTGCATCGCGGTGATGTAGAAGCCACTCACATAAGGCTCGACGTGGTACTGGGTCTAGGTCATGGAACTGCTGAACCGGCTGAAAGTGGTACGGATGGAGTCCGGCTGTTTTTAGCAGCTTCAATACCGCAGGCTGGCTCACACCAAAGAGACATGCCGCATCGTGGGTACTGACGCGGGAACGCGGGGTTACGGATCCCAAAGGCCCGCATACGAGGTATGCTCTTCGTTGCATACTTTCTCCGAATTGCACTTATTTAGGTTCTCACCACTCAAAAGATAACCACCCCCGCTGTGGCGCGGGGCTACCGGGTGCGGCGGGGATGCACGGTGGTATACGCAAGAGAAGACGTTTTCATTGAAGTTTTATTTTAGAAAATGTGTCCATATTCTACCGTTTCGATAGGGATAAAAATATTTAAAAAAAGAATTAAACTAATTATGGAAAAGTGTTCTATTACTGATACTGATTCACCAAAAAAAATTTTTGCACTGGAAAAAAAATATTCCTGTATATCTTTTGAAGTGGATCAAAACAGAAGTAGGTATTTAGTATAAATGTATAAGTATAATAAGTAGGAATTCGCATCAGTGATTCGTTTGTAGGTATTATGAGGTCCGTCTTAAGCACAAGAGGCGCCAGGGGGCAAGTAGTGCTCTGGCGCCCCAATTACAGGCAATTTCCCGAAGGTCATTGGTGCGGCGCCCGGGTGCGTTGCACCCCTGCACCATGGGTAAAGACGGGCCTGGGTATTATATTTAGATTCAAACGGATTTCCGTATATCTCGAACCAGAGAGATTGATGTGAAAATAGGGGATTTTTTAGATTGTAATGTATTGTTCCCTTCCCTTCTCCCTTCTCCCCCGGACCCCTGCGGACTGCAGACGTGCTCTGGACCAACCTTATTTTATTTATTTTGAGAGGGAAATATCAATATTCGTAACAATAATTCAGTGCATAAAAATAGGACAGCATAAGCTGCAAGGAGTTGACGCCCTAACATCACTTAGCTGATCTACCGCTGTGTGCTATCGGTGAGTGCAATAAACAAGTCTTCACGCATACATGCGCATCCTTACGGAGCCACTGCAGGTGCACATACTCACGCACACGCACAATCACTACTTACTGGTTTGGCCACCGAAACGTCACGCTTGCGTCACACGTGCGTCGCGCGGCACACTGCCGACACCGCTCGCTCGCACTTGCTGCTGCGCTCTGCTCTCCTGGTACTTTTGCTTTGCTATTGTACACTTTGCTCTCTCGGAACATGCCGCGTGTTAATCGCTCCCCGCCTCGATTGTTGACGAGTGACTCGTTGCTGCCTCAAATTACGCATTGCAAGTCGGACTCAAATCTTCCTGACTGTGCTGGGCTACAAATTCCTACAAATGCGCCTGCACTTTGTCGTGAAGCAACAAGTGACCCTAACTTAGCACTAAGAAAACGAAAGCGGGGTGACGAGGTAGATAAGGACGAAATTATCGCTATGTTTGCCATGTTAAAGAAGGAACAGGAGGAAAGATTTTCAGCTTTAATGAATAAGATAGAAACGGGCATTAAGGCTCACACGGATCAAAATAGCGCCATTCTAAGCTCAATTGAGTTTTTGGGGCAGAAATACGATGAGTTGGTCACTAGAATAGACACCCTAGAGCGTGAAAAAATAGAGGATAGCAAACAAATTAAACTACTGGAAGCGAGGTTGGAACATTTTGAACGATTTCATCGAATCTCTAGTATTGAAGTTAGAAATGTACCCAAAACATCCGTGGAGACTAAAACTGATCTATTGAATCTAGTACAAAAAGTTGGTACTGCTCTTAGTGTACCACTGCAAGCAGCTGACATTAGAGATGTTTACCGCATTAATACCAGAAAGGACACCAACCAGCCGATAGTGGCCGAGCTTACAAGCGTCATCCTACGGGATAAAATTATTTCAAACGTCAAGACGCATAATAAATTAAACTCACAAAATAAATTTAGTACGAGCAACATAAAACTCGACGGACCGCAAAAGCCAATATTCATTTCGGAAAATCTGGCTCCACAGACTAAGAAATTGTTTTTCTTAGCAAGGGAAACCGCCAAAGAGTTCGGCTATAAATACTGTTGGACCTCAAGAGGCAAGGTGTATATGCGACGAACGGATGGTGCTCCATTCGTTAGAGTAAACAATGAGGGTGATCTAGAGAAGGTTAAGAGTAAATGACTAATTTTAGTAACGTTTTTGCAGCTGCTATTTACTTATACATATGTCATGTACAATGCTCTCATTTTAAATTTGTTTATTTTATTCTTTATGTTAAGATGCTCCTCGTTTTATGTCTATATATTTTTTCTATGTAACCGCTATATTCATATTCTGGATATAGCATGCAACAAAACAATACAACATTTTTTAGTTATTAGAATGAAAAATACTGGAAATTCAAATACCTACTGTCTTAAAAATAAATTATTATTTTATGTGGAAGTGAACTGCAAATTCGAACAACAATACCATCTCGTAAGTCATATTGCTAATAATATTATGTTATTTAACTTATATTCCATAAACAATCGTCATTTAATTATTTTGAACTATTTTTACTACATTTTAATCTCCGATATTCCTCAATATTTAATTAAGACGCACAACTTTTTAAATCAGCCCATAAAATGCTTGCTCCCGACTACTTTTTTTAGAAACAGTAATGGATGATGATTCTTTTCTTGGTGCGGAGGTTGACAGATCACAGGAGATCAACTGTATATCGGCGAGAGACTCTGAGTCATGCAAAACAATTTTGAATCATGGTATTTTAGCTAATAACCCTCTTGTAATAGTAACTCTGAACATACGTAGCATAAATGCTAACTTTGACAGTTTTCTCGCTTTTATCACAAGCTTAGATATAGTAGTAGACGTTTTTGTGCTGACTGAATGCTGGATTAACGATGTTAATCCACCGCCTGACTTAAGTAATTACAATATGTTCTCGACAAAAAATAAATTAAATAAAAATGATGGAGTTGTTGCTTACGTAAGACAGGAACTAAAAGCGGTGTCGTATGAGCCAATTTGTTCAGATGGGAACTGTCTTGTTGTAACTATTTCAGACGATTATGCACTGGTCTGCTCGTACCGCCCGCCTTGTTTTAAAAATAACACTAATTACATAGAGTCAATTGACTCTATTCTAACAGGTATATCTTCATCGAACATCATTTTTACAGGAGATATTAATATCAACATTATCATAGATATTATAGTTGACAATACGGCTCAATATTTAAATATGTTAGCTATGCATGGGCTACAACAAGGAATCAACCTTCCAACAAGAAACTTAACATGTCTTGATCATTTTTTTGTTAAGACAAAAAAAAGTTGGAAAACGGTTGTTTTTCAACAGCAGTTGACAGACCACTCTCCGATCCTTCTATATATTGATAATGCCAACATTTCAAAGACTACTGATATGAGTAATAAATTATCGATAAATTATGAAAGTGTCAGTGAGTCTTTAGCTAACGAGACATGGGATGACCTATATAAAAAGGAAAATGCTAACACTGCAGCTAATATGTTTATATCTAAGGTGATGACCATACTTAGTAATCATACACAAATAAAAAGTTATAGCAAAAAGAATCAACCCCTCAAGCCATGGATCACAGAAGGTATTGTAAAATGTATAAGAAGAAGGGATAGACTCCATAAGAAAGCTCGAATGGCACCAGATAATGTAGAGGCTATAGACAGATATAAGAAATATAGAAATTTATGCAATAAAATTATTAAGCAATTGAAGAATGAATATTATAGAAACAAACTAGTGATAAGTCAGGGAAATATAAAAGAGACATGGAAGCTGGTGAAAGAAGTATGCAACTTAAATCGAAATAAAGTAATATCTCGGGAGTTGTTGGAAATTTGTTCGGATCCTGCTATGTCTCTGAATAGGGTAAACGAGTTCTTTACTTCCGTAGGAGGAACACTTGCTAATGAGACCATACAAAGAATAGGATTGACAGAAAGCGAATTAGCAGAGATGGCTAAAACAAATAATTCACCGGTAAATTCTATGTTACTTTATCCCACTGATCCTCAAGAAATACAAGCTATCATTCTTGCTATGAAGTCAAATAGTGCGCCAGGGTGGGATAACATATCGGGTAGATTGTTAAAGAAATGTACAGCGGTTCTGGCTGAACCTATTGCCTTTATCTGCAATATAAGTTTGGAAACAGGCATTTTCCCTGAAATTTATAAAAAGGCTGTTGTGTGCCCTATTTATAAATCAGGAGACAAAAAGAGTCCGTCTAACTACCGACCAATTTCTTTGTTATCAACTCTTTCAAAGGTCCTTGAAAAACTAGTTAAAAAGCGTCTTGTAAAATACTTGGAAACAAATAACCTTTTAAGTACTAATCAGTACGGCTTTAGAGAAAAAAGATCAACGGAAGACGCAGTCCTTGCTTTAACATCTCTAGTCACTTCGTATATAGATAAGGGAGACAAATGTATTGCAGTCTTTTTAGATTTGCAGAAAGCATTTGACACTGTGTCTATACCTATCTTACTCACACGTCTAGAGAATGTTGGAGTAAGAGGAATAGCGTTGGATTGGTTCTCAAACTACCTAACTGAAAGATCGCAGAAAGTTAGGGTATCAGACTGTCAGAGTGATAGCGCAGCATGTACTTATGGAGTACCGCAGGGAAGTACTCTTGGTCCTACACTTTTCCTCGTATACATTAATGACCTGTGTGGTACTTCTCGGCGTGGTCTTGATTTGTTGATGTTCGCTGATGACACTGTGCTAATTCTACATGACAAAACCTGGCCTAAAGTTGCGAAACTAGCTGAGGATAGTTTAGCAGACGTAACAAAATGGTTAGACCGGAGTCTCCTTTCAATAAACACAAATAAAACAAAATATATGTGCTATAGTAAAACAGCTGCTGGTGATCCGGGCCACGAAATTAATGTTTTAATACATACCTACCCTTGCAACTGGAACAGATCAAGTGTATGCAGATGCTCTGCACTGTCACGTGTAAGAGTCTTTAAGTACCTAGGTGTTACAATAGATGATCATTTGACCTGGGAGCACCATATATCATCACTGGCATTGAGAATCAGAAAGCTCATATATGTGTTTAGGAATCTTCGCACTGTTGCTGACTGCACACTGGTCATACAAACTTATAAAGCCTTGTGTGAGTGTCTAATTAGGTACTGCATATGCGCGTGGGGAGGAGCAGCAAAGTCACATCTAATTATTGCTGAACGTGCACAGCGTGCAATCGTTAAAGTAATGCTCTTCCTTCCGTTTAGGCATCCCACAATGCAGGTGTATGAGTTGTCTGGTGTACTTAGTATCAGAAAACTATTTATTTTCGAATCAGTCCGACGCTACCATAGAAAGGTTGTTCCCCTCCTGCCTGTTTCGAATAAGAGAATAGATCGTTGCCCCATTCCTCAAGTTAGAAGTAAATTTGCGCAAAAACACTTCAACGTTCTTGCTCCCCATCTCTACAATAAAATAAATCACATCTATAAATGTAAAGACAAAAGCAACAGAGAAATTATAAGTATATTAATAGAATGGTTAAAGGAATTTAATTACGATGACTTAGAGACGATGTTGAATGCATGTTGAAATTATAAGTTTGCGGCTCAATTTAAATATAATATGAATTTGTTAATGGTTCGTTAGCTTTGCTGGGTATTTCTATTTCCTACAATGTTTTTTTTTTTTTTTAATTTGGTTTCGTTTGTGAAATTACTGAGCATAACACAAAATAGTTTTATATCCCCATTTGCAGTTTTAATATTTGTAGTAATACTCATATATTTGTTATTATTATTATTTATTTATATTTTTTTTTTTTTGTAAACTTTTTTTTTTTTTTCTTTTCTTCTGGCATAAGATTTGTTAATATAGTTTGGAGAAGACAAAGGCTCCTGAAACACAGTTTTCAGCTAGCTCGGGAGCCCTTGGATTCATTAAGTTTTGTATTATTTGAAATTATGTCAATAAATACATTTTTACTTTTTACTTTTACTTTACTGTTATATTATTCCTTTCCCCGGCTGATTCTAGAAAGGGATTATATCGTTGTTTCCACACCAGAAAATAACCCTTAATTTGTTCCAATCTAAGTTGTACTTAATCATGGTTGACAAGTAATCTTGTAATTTTGTTAAACTCATAAAATTCACGCTTGTGCATAATAAATATTACATGATATATGTAGGTACTTTATAGGCCAAGCTGTGGTGGTACGGTGCTGATCTGCCAGCATTATCCTAGCTTCCCAAAGCCTGTGTACCACCTCCTTACAAAACTCTTCAATGCAAATATAATTTTGTTTTAGACACTGGCCATTTTTGTTACTAATTTTATGAATAAATTATGTTATTGGATGCGAGAAAATGTGAATTAATTAGTAATGATTTCTAGAACCGGAATAATATTTTTGTGTATAATTTGAAGAATATTTTGTACTAAGTTTATATAATAATAAATAGTCGTGCAAAGTACTCTTTAAGCTCGCGATAATTTTTGTAAGTTCAAAAATAAAGTATTCAAATAATAAAGTTAAAACATTTTACAATCGCAAATGTCATTTTGAATCGCGCTCTTTTAACCTACTTACCAAATGCCTACTAAGCACGTAACACCAACTTATGCCTACTACTATAACCACCTACAACTAACAAAGTTAAATATTAACTTAGCTACATCGTAGCAAAGTTATCAAACTATTAACCAGTTCTGGGTAATTATAATAGGCTTTATAAAGCAATAATTGGGGCTTAGGTAAAGCTGCGGAATCGATATTCAATCCAATCTCGATTGGATTGTATTTTGTGTGTATTTTCGTACAATATAAGAAATACTAGCTTTCCGCCGGAGTGGAAATTCTTCAAGTCTATTTAAAGGGATGAAAACTATCCTGTCTTTAGTCAAGATCTTCTCTTTCTGTGTAACGTAACAGACACACAGACAAAAACACTCGCATTTATAATATTATAGTATTAGATAAGTTATGAAATATAGTCTTGAACGCTGCATTTCGATCATATACAAATCATCTCTTTTAAGTACCTGTCCTACTTCTAGAACTCTAGAATCATGCATGATAGCATTAAATGTTTCTTGTGCTATAATCTTATATAAATACGTGTATATTTTAACATTTGAGTGTAAAGTTACT